GTTTTACTAGCCTTGGAACAGATTCTTCAGAGAATGGCTATCATTAGATACTTTCATGCAATTATACTTCATTGTACCAGTTTCTAAACTGATAAAAGAATGTTTTAATCTTTTTACATATAAATACCCTGTTCTTTTTACTCTGCCTTTCCACTTTGGTCATTGTTAAACTCACCATTACACTAGGATGAAAATAAATACTGGCCAAATGTTTTCAATTTCCAAGCACCAGTTTTAGAAATAATGAGGTCTTGTTTCTATTTGAACCACTAAGACCAATATTATGCATGGTGGGAAGTGAGGGCAGGATTGAATAGATAGAGTGGGCACCATTCTGTCAGAACACAGAATTCTTGTTCTGGAAAATAAAGTTGTATAAATAAGTCAAGGTTGGGAATAGAAGGCAATAAATAGTAAACAAAAACATTTCTTCTTAATCTAGTAGTCAAAGGAGACTTGTAGTTTCTTATGCAAGAGTCACACATAGTAGAAATAGAAGCAGCAATGGAAAAACCGTAATAGTAGGATCCGACTGTTATTTTAGAGTTAGCAATACACACAGAAAGAACATTGATCAGAGTAGTCTGCATTTTGGGAAATCCGTCTTCTAAAGAAATGATAATAAAAATGGAGTATATCAAATAAGTTTACTCAGTTACAAGCAACTGTTGATAGCTAAGTGGCATAAGAGAAGGGAAGGTACTGGAAGGATGTGGGAGGCTCAAGGATCAGTGTGAAGCTTGAGGAATGGGTCTGTAACAGAGGAACTGAGGGTACTCAGAGGTCAAAAGCGGTAACTAAGCTGTGGTGTGTTAACACTCAAGATCTGGTGAGCACAGGATTGCACCACCTCGACCCCCCTTCCACCTTCAATGTGTTCTTTCAACATATTAAAAGAATTGAAGTAAATTTGGAACACTGGAAGCTGATAGATTGTGAGAATTCTTTGTCTTCTATAGCAGGACTTCTTACCTAACCTGCCCACATACGGTAGAGTTTATACACTAGAGGATATTGTGTTGCTGTTAGGAAATGCAGGTGGATAGTCGATAATAAAAATATGAGAAATAGGAATTCCAGGCAGGCTTAAACAAACACAATCTGATATTAAAATCAGGTAATCCCATAAAGAAAAAAGGAAGGACATTCCAAGAAAGCAGTGCCCTATATAGGGAATTCTAGGATTATTTCAGTTTCAAATTGCCACTGTTAGGAAGACATGTTGCAAAGGACACATTCTTCCAAAGTAGCTCAGACCTATAAATTTTACACTAGGAAATCTAAAGTGTAGAACAAGCTGACTGAAGAGTCATCAGAGAGAGTACCAGAACAAGGGTAGGAAATTTAATGGACGACAGAAAAAAAAAAAAAAATCTTCAGTGCCTTTTTTGCTTTAGTCTTCTAGACCTTGAAAAATGATCTCCAAATTTAAAAAGAGCATACCAACGATGTTGAGAATGAAAAATAAAGGTCCAAGATAAGTGAATGGATAGCAAAAGAGCATCTATCTATTAAAAAAAAATTTTTTTAATGTTTATTTTTGAAAGAGACAGAGACAGAGCATGAGTGGGAGAGGGGCAGAGAGAGAGAGAGACACAGAATCTTAAGCAGGCTCCAGGCTCTGAGCTCACAGCACACAGCCTGACGCGGGGCTCGAATTCACAGACCGTGAGATCATGACCTGTGCCCAAGTGAGATGCTCAACTGACTGAGCCACACAGGACACCTGAACATCTACCTATTTTTAAAAGAACTCAAATCTTCAGCCTGGATAAATACCATACCATAACACTGAAAAAACTTGGCAATGTGATCAAGAACACACAGCCAGTAATTTCTTTTTTTTTTTTTTAATTTTTTTTTCAACATTTATTTATTTTTGGGACAGAGAGAGACAGAGCATGAACGGGGGAGGGGCAGAGAGAGAGGGAGACACAGAATTGGAAACAGGCTCCAGGCTCTGAGCCATCAGCCCAGAGCCCTACTCGAACTCACGGAGCGCGAGATCGTGACCTGGCTGAAGTCGGATGCTTAACCGACTGCGCGACCCAGGCGCCCCATTAATTTCTTAAAACATTGTTTGAAGAAATGTCAGAAGCAATGAGTTGGGCAAATGCTGTCTGGATGCATTAAAAGGGTAAGATGACAGATTATAGAACTACGACAACCCGGTGCGAGATTCTCAAGTGGATTATTAAACAGATGATTTATGAGACAAGAAAACTGCCACATAACATGGATGTGTTAAGTGAGGATGACATAGTAGAAAGAATTGGGAGTCAGACGACCTGAGCACAGGCCCTCATCTGTCAATAGACAGCTGTTTAGACATGAGCAAATCATTTGAGTGTTTTGAGCTGCATATCTTGATTTGGGAAATGTTATAAAACTAGACGCCCTTTGATGGTAGTTTAGAATGTATCCACAAAGAATCTATTAGCTCTAAATGTACCAAATTACCTCAATTCTTTTTGATGATAAAATGGCTTCCATTTATTAAAGAACACATCCTGTGATGGGCATTTATATGATTTTATAATCACATCAGTACACCCATAAGTCCTATGACAGATGGGTGTTATTAATCCTTTTTTACAAATGATGAAATTGAGACTCAGAGTGGCTAAGTAAAAGATCAGAAGAATCAGGATCAGAGCGTATCCTAAAAACAGGGAATCAGTTGACCAATATCCCATGCTATTATTATAGACACAATGAATGTATTTAGGATGGATAATACTACCATGAGATAAGACTACAGTAAACATTACCATAATAATTCTTACTTTTGGATAGTTACACATAAACTGTGTTGATAATGAATCCATGTTTATCTCATGGAAAGTTTCTTCTGGTGTTTCTTAACCTCAGCCTATCCAACTATTTTTTAATAAACAACTTGGTTGAAAGAGTAGAAGAAATTCTTATCAGATTTTTTAAAAAACAAAAAAGGAGACATTTTCAGATGAATAATTTATTCACATTTACCTTTATTCAAGTATCACATCCAAGATAGGATTAAAGGTAATTTAATTCATTCATAGTATGATCAGTATTCAAACAGTGAAATATATTAGTATGAAAGCAAATTTCTGCACTTAGCATTTAAACAACTCTAATAGACAAGGAAAGGCCTTAACTTTGAACAGGGTTTGGATTTGGGAAACTGGAACAGAGGATAAATGAGTGTGATTGGCTCTTGGATTGAAATTTGGAGCTCCCAAAAAGGATTGGAAAGGAAGTATCTAGAGTGATATCTAAATACGTCTTTTCCCTTAGTTTCAGCAATATTGGATGGACAAAAATATTCTATTAAAAATAATTTTCTGTTAAATGGACCCAGGTGGTTTCAAGTTGATTTCAAGTGCAACAGAAGCCAACCATTTGAAAATCCTAGCACTGAAAGTTGTTGTAAATTCTAGTCACAGTCACAGAACAATGTGAGGGGTATTGGAAAGGAAGCAATATAATCCTTCAGTTTCTGCTTTAGCTAGACCGCATCTTGGGATGGTGGGTTTCCTTCAGGACCATGTAGTTACTAAACCAAAGAAAGTCCGTGGAAGGCATCCAAGGAATTGAAAGGTTTGAAAACATGTCAAATGAAGAACAACTGGAGAAACTATAAAAGAAAAGACTTAGGAGTGGCATGGCTCTTTCAAAGATATGAAGAGCTGATGTTTGGAAAAGATAGTTGGTTAGTTCTGAAACTCTCAGAAAGCAGAAAGTGAAACTGGAAGAAGTGGGTGGAACTACTGAAAAGCACTTTCTCCAGTGACAGCCTTTCTCCCAAGCTGAATGGAGGCATTTTGAGAGGTTAAAAGCCCTCTGGTTACTCATTATCTTCAATTCAGTGAATTCTGGCTGAGAGCCTCCTTGTGCCATTCTAAATGCTTGAAATATATCAGGGAAGAAAACAGATAATTCTTGCTCTTGGATTGTTTACATTCTGGTAGACATAGGGAAACTTTTAATGAAAATGAAACCAATCAGTAGATTATGTAGTCTTCAGGAAGGTGAAAAAGTTAAGGAAAAAAAAGTAGAGTAAGAGAGAGGAGGAGTTCTCTGGGGGAAAAGCATTCCAAGCAGAAAAGGAAAGCCACACATCAGCATGAGATGGGAGTATGCCAGAAAGGAAGCCTCTTCTGCAGATATTTAAGCAGAGCTTGGCAGAGAATCTATGAGAGAAGCTGAAAAGATGATTTTTATTTTTGGTGAGAGCTTGGACTCCATGACTTCTGAGGTCTCTTCCAACTCTTCATATTCCCTGAGTTTCTGATTCTCTGATAATTCAGAGTAACTAATTTGGTAGCAATGAGCAAGATAGAGTCAAGAGCAGAAATGTTAGACCAGGGTTACAAATGAATGGTGAAGGGGCAAGGCAGATAGTGTAAACATTTCAAAATACTGGCAATGCATTCAAGTATTGTAAAAAATATTATGCAAATCATGCAAAGTCTATTTGCACACCAAATTTGCCCAGGGGCCACCAATTTGAGATCTTTGCACTAGAGAAAGTGAAATCAGTTATGAGCGTAATGATGTAATCCACACATAAGGTCTTGGACAGAAAGGCAAAGGAGAATAAAAAATAAAAGAAGAAATCTGAGTCTGTGGTGAGAATTCTTCCTTTGCCGTGATTTAACAAAGAACCAAAAAGAAAGACATAAAGATGACTACCTGTAGTTGAGACACCAGGAGACCACTTCACACTGACTTTGTTGTTTCTCGATCAAAGCTCACATTGATTTTTTTTCTGCCTGTTATCAATAACCAGATACTAACTGGTCCTCTCATTGTCCTCTATACATAATTACCTATAATTAAGGAACTTAAAGATAATATCAGCCAGTTCAATCTTTTTCAATTATTTTGAGTCTATAATGTCACTATAATCATAAAACTTTTAAACAGAGGCTCAGAATTAATCAACTGTAACAATTACAAAAACACAGATAAAACTTTTATCTTGATGTTTAACTGGTCCTGTTTCCTTGCTGCAGGTGCCTTCATTTGCAAGATGCTGCCATTTGTCCAGTCAACTGCTATCGTGACAGAAATTCTTACTATGACCTGCATTGCTGTGGAAAGGCACCAGGGACTTGTGCATCCTTTTAAAATGAAGTGGCAATACACCAACAGAAGGGCTTTTACCATGCTAGGTGAGAGTGTGCCAGTGGCAGTACTCATGCTCTTCTTCAGTACAGAACAAAAGAATTTCTTCAATGTGAACTATATTGATGAAGCGGACGAGTAGCTTCCTGTCTAGCCTTGTAGGCATCAGGGAGTAATTTCGGAGTTTTAGTCCTCTCCCCATTTTACCTTGACCTCCACTCCTTTTCTTCTTTCAGTCCTAACCTCACACTTCAAATCTCCTTATCTCAGATTCACTTCTTCAGTTTAAGTCTTAAACTTTTAAGCACTACTTTTAGTTGATTTAAGATAACCTTCAATGGCATTACCACATTAATATTTATTAGATTAGTAAACTGTCATCCTGAGGTAAGAGGCGTGTAACCTAAAATGCCCTTCTTAGGGCCAGTAGATTTTGACAGGGGGAAGGAAAGGTGTTTTTAGATGGGTAGAGAACGAGGGTGCTGCTCAGAGGAGGCCCCAGTGCTGAGGACACAATAGCCGCGGGGCTCATGGGGATGCTAGGTGCTTGCTGAGTGTTGGAGGCGCCTGATGAAGACAGATTCCATCCACTTCATAATTTTGCTTCAGACATTCCTGCATCCTCAGCTTGATGTAACCATTTCTGAGTCAGCAAGACATGAGGAGCATGTACCTCTTGATAAGTGGCAAACTGTAAGTGGTGTCCTAAAGCCTAGCACAGTAAGATGGAAGCATTTCTCTATTCGATAATTACAATTGAGCCATTTAAAGTAGAGCCGTAGCATATGTATTACAGCTAAATAATGGAAGCTTGAGAAAAAAACTAATGCAATAACCAAAAAGAGCAATTTTTACTAGTATCTCACTTGAGAGGAATAGGTAAACATTTATTTCTGCTTTAGGAGTTTAGCCAGCATGGGACAGTAGAATTACAGAAAGAACTCCTAAGGGTTTTGCCACGCCAAACTCATTTTACATAGCATGAAATGAATAGATAAACCAACGGGGAAAATATTCGTTAGTTTTAGTTAGTTATTTTCCAATTTATGTCACATCCTCCCTACAAAGAATTCAAAGACCTCTTGGCTTTTAATAATTGACATCTTCCCACCTTCAAAACATCTGAAAAGCGTGTGTGGGTGTAGAAAGAGGATGAGGAAAGGAATACATGGAGGAGGGAAGTCATTAAAAAAGGAAAGAGAAGTAGAGAGTCTCAGCATCTGAGGGCAAAGTCGATAACAGGCAGTCAAGGCAGTTTCTACTCAAAAAATTCATAGGAGACAGAAAGGATTTTAAATCAAGAAGGCTCAGCATCCCATGGGGCTTTCACACAGTGTTGCCTGATGTCTCTCTCTGGCCAAGTACCTCTTAGCTGAGACTGCTTTGCCTCCAGGCCCCCACCATCAGAGACCTGCTAGACTTATTTGCCCACAAAGGTTCATTTACACCAGTAATATTCATCTAACTTCAACCTTTCTATCCCTGAACAGGCAATAGACCCAGAAGGATTGGCAAGGAGCTAAGTCAATTAGACTCAGAATCCAGAATTTCTACTAAAGATTGGAAAAGTGATTGGACATAAGATTACATAGTGAGATAATGATTGGACTAGATTAGAGCAGATGTTTATGGCGATGTGGATAGAGAGAGATTGATTTGTGAGTCTGAGAACTGTCTTGAATCATCGAATAATAATGACTATCTATAGGCAGTGCCAGTTCACGTATTTCTTTATAATAAACCCCAGTTATGGCTTAAGTGAGTCCCAGTTCCTTGAAATCCAAGGCAATATGCTGTTTTCTTAATAGTACCTAATACAGAGAGAATAAGAAGAATTTGAGCTGGGATATTTCTCTCAGAATTGATGGTGGGTCTCTTGGTTATGGCCTCATCCTAGTCTGTTCTGATTCTCTTTTGTTCCTTGCTAAGGACACATCATTAAAGCAATTCTGTCAACAAAATCATGAAGGACAGGAAATTTGGAAACAGCATTCTGGTTTCTTATCAAATGTTTGCTTTGTAAATAAGAAAATAATACTCATGATGCATAAGATAAATGTACTCAATTTTAAGAAGAAATTGTAGAGGGTGATCAATATCATGTTTAAGTTATTCATCCGTTTGACAACCAAACAGCAGGTGCTTCTGAGGGCCAGGAATTTTCTTTGGGGAAAATTTCCCTTGTTTAGGGAAACAAACAAGTACAAAAATAAATTTCATTGTGTTTGCCCTTAATGAGCTTAGAAGAAGTTGAAAAGAAACAACTAAGGCAACAAAGGTGCCACTCTAGAGGGCAAATGGAACCAACAGGGAATTAGTTCTATCAGGAAATGATGGTGGCCTTCAAAGATTTCCTAGAGACAGTGACTTTTGAGTTAAGTCCTGGGAAATGAAGAACGTGGACAGAAATATAACAGGAGAGAGAGGCAAGTGAGAGAACCTCAGGGATCATGTTAAGGGTTTAAGTTTTATCTTATAGGTAGTACAACACTATTAAAGATTTTGATTAAACACTTAAAAATGTTTAAGGAAGACTATTCTAGCAACAATTTTGAGGACAGAGAAATAGCATCAGTGGGAACATGTAGCCCACTGCACTGCTCTAGGGCGGAGATGATTGCACATAAGGAGTCTTCATGCTTACAGCATATGCTTTATACTTAAGTATGCATGTGTTCTGCTTCACTCACTGAATCAGATTCTGATGATTTTAATGTCTTAGCAGGTGTGGTCTGGCTGCTGGCAGTCATCGTAGGATCACCCATGTGGCATGTACAACGCCTTGAGGTAGGTTCGGGGCTGGCTTGATCATCATATTATTGAAATGTTCCCCAGCCTTCTCAATTACAATCATTTTTCTTCCTGCAAGAGCTTTATAGCAAATTCTGGTGACCCCAATTATTTCACTGAAAAATTTTCAAATGAAATAAAATAATTTGTTTTAAGATTTTTTCCTCTGTTTTATCTAGTTCTTCCTTGGTTAAGACTTTAATGCTTAAAAGAAAACTTATCAGAGTCATTTTCTACATTTTCCTGTCAGCCGAACATATTTTCCTAGTGGCCTCCCGTGTCTTATTACATTTTAAGAGTTTAACGGTTGCTTTAGATTTTTATTTTATTTTTAAAACACATCAAAAAATTGTCATCAATCATCTGCTTATTTGTTGATTGTCCCTCATACGTCCTTTCTTCTCTGCCTCCCATACATTGACAAATTGAAATTTGAATTGGAATGTGTGACAGGATCATCTTATCTGATCTCTCCCCTTCCCCCACACCTTAAACTGATGGTCTAGCATTGTCTGGCTATTCACAGCAAGGGGACACTGTGCTGTTTTTGGTGACCCAGCCTATCCCATGGGGCATACATACACGTCCTGCATCGGTGATCTAGCCCAGACAGTAGTCTTCAAAGGCAGTAGTGGGTTGATCACTAGATAATTTTTTTTAACTGTATCCTTTTATACCTTTTTAAATTGATATAGACAAAAGTGAAACTTTACTAGATGGTAAATGTCGATTGGCAAGGATAGCAAATGAGCCCTCAGGAAAGGGTACATTTAAAACATGACTTGATTTTTTTCTTTCTTTCTTTCTTTCTTTCTTTCTTTCTTTCTTTCTTTCTTCTTTTTTTTTTTTTTTATGTAATTGGTATATTGAATGAGCTGGACTCCACAGGTGAGAGCTGGAAGTAATTTTATTCTATCCCTTGCTACCTATAAAAATGTGACCTGAGAACTTTCCAATACTCTGACAAAATGTTGTGGATGAAGCTCTGAGCAGACCCTGTAATTCTTTCAGCCATTCAGATAGCAACATTCCTATGGTCACTTTTAGTCACAACAACTTGTTAATTCTGTCATTAAAATTCCAGCCCGGTGTCACAATCACATAAGTCCATATTCTCAATCAACACAAAATGTCTCCCAGCTCAGCTTAAACTGTTTTTAGGTCTAGAATCCTACAATATGCAAAGGGGAGGTGATTCCCTTCTTCTCTGCTTCCTTACTGGGCGTTTCTCTTTCTCTCTTCCCATCCAAGAAAATGGCTGCCCTTGGCAACTTGGGAGCTGGTGTTAAGGATGGGGAGAGGAAGGGACAGGTGTACTGGTATCATCGCCCTCTGTGAGTGACTTTGCTGCCCATGATCGATTCCTTATGTATGGGTTTTTCAAAGATAACACCACTGAGGCTTCTGACTGCTGCTCCAGCAGGGTGCTCATGTATCTTCCACACACAACTGTAAGTGGCTGGGTCTTTTCTCTAAGGCTGTCCTTATTCCGGCAGGTATCCCATACTGATGGAGGCTTTACACGTGACCCAACCCGGTAGTCATTTGTGGGGCCCATTTCTGGCCCACAGAACACAAAGAGTTTTGTCTATTTTTTAAAATAAAATTATTTTATCATATGCTCTAAATATGTTTTGAATATGTAACTCATTTAGTTTTTAAGAAATACATATGTAATTGGCAGAGTCGGTCCTCACTATCAGACAAGTCAGCTAAATCAGATTTGCTTTCTGTCAGGAAAAAGTGTGATTTCATTTTTCCTATCAAATAAATCTATTAATATGCATCCCATGGCCACCTTCTCACTTCTAAATTCTATTAGAGAGAGTGTGTGTGAGCATGCATAAAGCCTGAATTTCTCACCTGGATGAAATAAAACATCACCAACTTTACCATTTCCACCCACTGATGTTCTCTTTGCTTTGCTGTCAATGGGCTCTCTCTCAGGAGTGATGTATTTGACAATTTTCATGGGATGGAAGCAAAGAGGTGGCTAAATTAAAATTGTCATCATCACTTCTGCCTCTTCACTGTATGAAAAATATAAACTCACAACATCTCAACATCTGTCAAAATACCTTTCTTCTAAAGCCAGAATAGAAATATGTTTGATATAGGGAAAACACAAAACCCTATCATGGATTTATGGTGTCTTGATTACGGTGGCTTCACTGACATCAGTAGTTCAAACCACCTCCTTTTTTAGTGCCTCATAGTAAGAGTAGGACTGAGTGAGACATCTGACTTATGTAGATGGGGAGAAGAGAGATAGAAGCGAGCTGGGAGTGCAGGGCCAGCACAACACTCAATCTCAGGCTTCCCCTAGGCAGTGGAATTTTAGAGAACTGTATGGTTCCAAAGAGACAATCTGAAATTGATTCCCATAAAACTATGTGCCTGTGCACTCAGAAAGTCTTTGCTTGTTCCCAAGGCAACCTGCACCCCCTTGGAGACTATCAGTCTAGCTTTGTGTTTTAAGATGTGCCAATATGTTGCCCCCATGGTCGTCGGCATTTGTGGGCTCTGCCTACATGGGGTCAGCATGAATTTCACCTTAATATCCCGTTCCCAGGGAGTTTGGATCTTGAAATTATTATTCAGTAAGTGTTTTCATCCCTTGTTGCATTTGTAAATAATACCTAGATCAGAACTTGAATTTTCTTGCCTTTGATAAGTATACCAGAAAGCTTTTTCCCCCTATTCAATTGACTAAAGATTGGCAATAAAATTTGCAGGAATGGAGGCAGAAATATGTCTAGGACCTAGGGATACTTCATCTGGAAATCTCTGAAGTGACTAAAATGGCAATAGTTTTGATAAATTTTCTTTTATTCTTATTATCCAGATAAATGACTTTGCTTAGTTTGTCCCTTCTTAGCATTTGCTACTGTTATTAATATTGTTTTTAATAATATTTTGAACCCAACCATCTGTCAGAAATAGTATTAACAAAGAGACATTGCATTTCTGTAAAATATCTACCTCAAAGGCTGATAGCTGAGTCTGAATATTTGTAGATAGACAATAGTTTGAATCCCAATTTCTTATTCATCTCAAATCTTAAAGCTATCAGCTGTCTTTCTAAAATCTTTGCAAGCAACCTGATCACTGCAATCTGAAATAGCAGTAACAAAATGCAAGCTTTCAGTACTATGAACTGAAAAATAGCTGATACTTTGCCAAAATCTGTCTCTTCAACAATTGAGGAAGCAAAATAATGGAACATTAAACCAGCTGGTGTGCAATTACAAGATGTTTTCTTTTTTTCATATGTACCTTGATTGATGTAGTGTATTCTTCCTCTGAAAAGTAATAATCCTCATCTGGACAGTATGCATTTGGTCAAAGCTCTTTCATCGAATTGAAAAAATTCTGACCACAGTGTAAAAAAAGTTGAGAAACATTAAAAAAAATAGCCTATTGACCTCAATCCCATTTGAAATAGAAAAGAAAGTATAGAACTGTTAAGAATGTAAGAAATGTGGAGAAAATGACACCTTACAACAAAGGAACAATCAAACTCGTATCTATTAAAAAAAAAAAAAAAAAAAAAAAAGAGGTTAGAGTGGGAGAGAGCCAAAGCATAAGAGACTGTTGAGAACTGAGAGCAAACTGAGGGTTGATGGGTGGTGGGAGGGAGGAGAGGGTGGGTGATGGGTATTGAGGAGGGCACCTTTTGGGATGAGCACTGGGTGTTGTATGGAAACCAATTTGACAATAAATTTCATATATAAAAAAAAAAAAAAAGAAAAGGAGTCTTTGCAGTAACTTAAGAATATTGAGATGAAATCACCCTAAGTTATCTGGGTGAATCCTAACTCAGTAACAATTATTCTTTGAAGAGACACACAAAGGCAAGGCCATGATAGGATGGAGGCAGAGATATTCCAGTGATATAGCTGGAAACCCAGATATGCCAAGGTCCACCACAATCTGGAAGAAACAAGGAATGAAATATCTTTTAGAGCCTCAAAGGAAGTAGAGCTCTGAGGACACCTTGCTTTGGGACTTCTGACCACTAAAACTGTAGAGAATAAACTGTTGTTTCAATACAAAAAAAAAAAAAAAAAAACCCAAAAAAAAAAAAACAAACTCGTATCTAATTTGCAATATGGATCCACAGTCAATACAGGAGGGTTTGAAAACTGCAGCATTATAGCAGTACGTGGCTGTTTTCTGTTCTGTTGATGCTGACTCTGCCTCCTCTAACTGATTTGTTTTTATGTTAAAGATTAAGTATGACTTCCTGTATGAAAAGGAGCATGTCTGCTGTCTGGAAGAGTGGGCCAGCCCTGCGCACCAGAAAATCTATACCACGTTCATCCTTGTCATCCTGTTCCTCCTGCCTCTTATGCTGATGCTTATCCTGTACACTAAAATCGGTTATGAACTTTGGATAAAGAAAAGAGTGGGGGACTGCTCAGTGTTTCGAACTATTCACGGAAAAGAAATGTCAAAAATAGCCAGGTCTGTTTAATGAAGCAGTCGCCTCCGTTTAAAATACTTTTAATTAGTCGTGCTTGAGGGGGAAGTTGCTAGAGCTCTCCCAATTCTTGGGAACTTTAGCCCAAGTGCCATTTGTAATTCATGTTCACAGAATGGGCTGACGTTCAACTTTGGAGATTTTAGGAATAGCAGGTATTTAGACAATTTGGAAAACTGTTGAATTTTCATCTATATGTCAAGATGACTTGCTAGGAAGAGCTGTGGTGTTCTCCTCTCTACCACTCGGCAGTCACATGGTGCAGATAAGTATCCTTACGCCTAAGGCTTCCGCTTGCCTCATGTGTGACAGGGAGCATAATAAATATCCATCCTCAGATGATGCTGAAATACATGAAATCTGTATGAAAATTCTTTGGTGACCAGAGTATGCTATTTACTTTATTATTATCTATACTATCATAATAAGGGCTTTCTTTTCTGATTATATTCATTAATAAAAATTTTAAAACACAATTTACTGATATAGTACTTGTATTCCATATCATTTATTTTATAATCTACATGGAACAGCTATTAAAAACAAAAACAAAAATCTTAGAAGTTTAATGGTTAGATGAAATTCTATCATTTCTTCAAGTGTGCAGCGACCTCTAGCGTCCAGTTTGTATGAAGAAATCCTCCCTGTCAGTGTCTAGGGCTGGATCTTCAGCTCTTTGGGACTTACTGCTGATTTCACTCTCCACTTCACTTCCTCAGAAGAGTGTTCTTCAACATAAAAATGAATAAGAGCTTAAATACTTGACCTTAGCTGCCTAACTTTACGTCCAAACTAGCCCTTACAGTTTAAATCCCTTATTAGTCATCTGACTTTGCAAGTTACTCAACCTTCTCCGTGCCTCAGTTTCTGCATCTGTCAAATGGCTTACTGAGAAGATTAATGACATGACTCATGCCAAGCATCTAGCAGAGTGTTAGATCTATAATGAGCATCCTTCATAATGATGTTTATAAGATGAGAGATTTGGGAATGAGGGCAATAGCAGTGGGAAGAGATGATAAACAGCCCACAATTAACCTATCATGAACTTTATTAATATTTGAAAAGTTATGGTTGAGAGATTTAGGCTCAAACTTTATTTAATAGCTTTGATATCAATTTGACAAATTTGCCAAGGAGAAGTTAACTAATGCGATGTGTCCTTGTGGGTCCAGGAAGAAGAAGCGAGCTGTCATTATGATGGTGACAGTGGTGGCTCTCTTTGCTCTATGCTGGGCACCTTTCCACATCGTGCACATGATGACTGAATACAGTGAGTGCTTTTCATTCTCATTTGTTAGAAGTTCTAGTTCATTTCTTGCTAGACTAGACCATGAATCGTTGAAAATTTTGTTGCTATTCCCTTGGGTAATCAAATATCAAACATTTAATGGGTTTCTCTCGTATTTTCAAGATTACCAGATCATTACATGGTGGGTTAATTATGTACAATTTTGAACAAACCTTTAATAATCGCAGAAGGGACAGAAACATTTTTGAGAGTCTTTTTTCATGCTCTGTCCCCTGTTCTCCCTAAACCAGTCAAACATGGAGGAGGTATGACGGACTATGAGCATTCTCTGTTTAGATCTAGAATCCTGACTTGAACCATATGAATTTGATAACACCTAGGATTTCAGCCAGACCCCCGGTGTATTACCTGTGATAATCTGAGACTTAACATGATTCTCAGATACAGATTGTATTTCTATAACACAAGTGAACGTTTGAATGGTAACTGCTGCCTCCAGTTTACATGACATTTGGAATCAAGTCGAAATGCGGTAAGTTCCTTAATATGTGCTGGGCACCAGGCTAAGCTTGTAAGCCAAGATTCTCTAAGAATGGGAACTCATCACAGAGCTCATTTTTCTTCAGACATCAGATGGCTCTTCCCAAAATTGCCTTGAGTATTTTTCACACCTTTAACCACTTGTACAAGTGTAAGTGTTTGGTAAAGATATATGATAAACAGAAATTTTATTTTATGCTCGTGAAAACATAATACATTGTAGACTATTACTTTTTATTTCAGGCAATTTTGAAAAGAAATATGATGATGTCACAATCAAGATGATTTTTGCTATCGTGCAAATAATTGGATTTTCCAATTCCATCTGTAATCCCATTGTTTATGCATTTATGAATGAAAACTTCAAAAAAAATTTTTTGTCTGCAGTTTGTTATTGCATAGTAAAAGAAACCTTATCTCCAGCACGAAGGCATGGAAATTCAGGAATTACAATGATGCAGAAGAAAGCAGTGTTTTCCCAGAGAGAGAACCCAGTGGAGGAGACAAAAGGAGAAGCATTCAGTGATGGCAACATTGAAGTCAAATTGTGTGAACAATCAGAGGAGAAAAAATACATCAAATAACATCTTGCCCTGTTCAATTCTGAACTTTCTGAAAATTCTGCTTTAGGTGGTGGCCGCTAATTATAACAATGTCTGCATAATTAGGACTGTTCGTAGCTTAATTGGAAGAGAAAATTATTTTGAGCAAAGGTGGAAGACATTTTTTTATTCTCAGAATGAGGAAAAGAAGGAAACAAATCATTTTCTTCATAAAAATATAACATTATACGTGAAAACACAATTTTGAAAAATTAGTAAACTATCCTTGTAGATTATTAAAAAAAAACTTGTATAGAAATAAATGTTTTTGGCTGGTAATTTTTCCTCTAATGCAGTCAATGTAATGTGACTTTCTATGTATTGCTAAATGAGCTGAGGAAATAACTTAAAAATTATGCCTTCTTTTTTGAGTAAGTTAACGGTTGAACACAGTAATGTAATTTTCAGTGCTGTTGAAGCTTGGTAATACAGTCTCTTACAAATGAGGTCTGTCCAATAATCATCAAGTCAAAGAAGATGGCGAAGCCGCAAAATGACCAATGAATGTGATTCAGAGGCAGGTGCCCGGGTGTAAGCTTCTTCTAGCCCTACCAGCTACCACTGCTGTGATGACTGGCAAGCCACTGAACCTCTTTAAGCCTCTCTTTCTTCCTGTGTATACTGGTGAGGTACCTCTTCTTCACAGGGTCACTGCCAGAAGAAAACGAGATGTGAGCAGGAAAGCCCTTTGTTACTGTACAGCACCCTCAGGTTCTGAAGCATCATCGCAGCCCCCATGTTCCAGGCCTCCCCTTTCTGCTCCCTTTTGCTTCCTGAGAGTTGCCCTCAACCCTGCCAGCTTTCCACCCATGCCTGTTTTGTAGCTGTTTTCTCTAATCAAAAGAAGGATGTTTCTGGGATCCTCATTTACAGGCTGGCTGTAATATATGTAAGCTAGTCTATCTCAAATATTTATATTTTTAAATCCCTTACTTTAGTAGTGGGATGAATGACTGGTTGTTATATTAAAGGACTTTTAGATGTAGTTAGCAGATGAGAGCATGAACTCCAAGCCCATGATTTTACTGTGCCCAAGACTGACTCCCGAGAGAGCAAGGCTAGGAAGAGTGGCGTTCCCCACTCATATTCCTTATCTTACCTCAATCTCCATTAATCATAACCTCGCTTCTTTCCAGTCTTCTCTTCTTACCCTCAAATATCATGGAACCAGTGACCACATCCCAGTGCCCTGTCACTTCCCCTTTAACAACTGTGATTCCCAAAGTCCATTCACAGCCTCTTGGCTAAAGTGTTTCTTTTGCCTCCAGTTTTTTAGCACTTATTCTTTCTGCCAGGAAATAGAGAAAGGAAGAGAAGCTCAAGAATTATCAGGGTATTATTTCACTTGTAAAGCTTGAAGGTTTGGGAACCAGAGAACTCAGGCTATTCGGATCTTTCAAAATGTAGACATTTAACTTTTTAGGTGTGTCAGGATAAAATGGATACAGCAACACAACTGAAACAGTGTGTGGTATTAAGAAAAAATGGCAATATGATACAGAAAATTAACAAAGTCAAGAGAAGACTACTGATGATTTGGTTTGTGTTGAAATGGACTTACTATGGATTATGTGTGTGTGCCATTCTCCTGTTATGACTAGCTATCTTGTAGCAAAACAGTAATTATCATTAAATCATTAAACCATTAAAAATGAATCATATTCACTGATTTTGGTTATCCTTATTTAATCAGCAGATATCCATATGACTCTTCCTAAATTTGATGTACATATGTTCCAAATATAACTTACTGAAGATGGGATCAATCAACACTATTACTGACCATTTAATTATTAAGGTTAGAGATTTTTAAAATTCCTAAACATTGCAGAGATTGATCAAAAAACATCTGGCTGCACCTGGGTGGCTCAATCTGTTAAGCATCCAACTCCTGGTTTTGGCTCAGGTCATGATATCTCAGTTTGTGAGTTCTAGCTCTGGGTCAGGCTTTGCGCTGGAGCCTGCTTAGGATTCTCTCTCTCCCTCTCTCTCTCTCTCTCTGCCCCTCCCCTGCTCTCTCTGTCTCTCCAAATAAATAAGTAAACCTTAAAAAAATAAAAAATAAAAACATATAGATATTAAACAATTTAAATAATTACTGTAAAATGTCCAGACACCTGTGAAAGATTTTTTACCCCTCACATTGCATTCATGCCATTTCAGAAATAAAAAATAGAGCAGTTTTGTTTTTGGTCCTTTAAACATGTAATCTTTTTATTCTGTTATAAGAGTTTGGAAGAGAAAACTGGTTCAATCCATTATTGGGAAACTATTATAATTAGTCAAAGAAGCTCCAGTCTGGACACTGAGCGCTGACAATAGTGTAACACAGCTTATGAGCCCATACAGAGTTCACCTTGGATTTGCAAAAGGAGCCCTGGTTCTGAGCTTTCTTCTGGTTTCCTCTGACTTCCCTGCCCCCTGAGTCTCTTAGGCCTTTTGTCCTCCACCCAGGCATCTGCTTTCTCCCCTTTTTTTTTTCTTTGCCCTAGGCTGTCACTTATTTTATTCCATCTGATTTCCCCTGAATTTGTGCTTGAAGTGAGAATTGACAAAGTCTCTTTGGATTCAGAAGGGAGGGTTGTGGAGGGGTACAGAAGGCTAGTCATTAAGACCATTCATTAGCATTTGGGTAAAATGTCTATGAAATCAGTGAAAAGGTATGCATCACTGCTTAGACTTCTAAGCCTTTTATTTCATTAGGGATCATTATGTCAAAAAGAGCTGTGTCTTTTCTTCTACTCTACAAACAAAACACAACAAGAAAAACTAAAACCAAAACAAAACAAAAAATCTCTCTTTTCTTAGTTTCTTATGGATCAGGACATCAGCATTTTGCATACTCGTTTGACTAATTTCTAAGCCTGAAAATGTTTTAAAAAATTTAATGTTTTTATTTATTTTTGAGAGAGAGACAGAGCTAGTGGGAGAGGGGCAGAGAGAGAGCGGGGGCGGGGGGGGGGGGACACAGAATCTGAAGCAGGCTCCAGGTTCTGAGCTGTCAGCACAGAGCCCAATGCAGGGCTCAAACTCACAGACTGTAAGATCATGACCTGAGCCAAAGTCAGGAGCTCAACTGACTGAGCCATCCACATGCCCCAAGTCCAAAAACATTTCAAAAAGAAGAACCAAGTTGCAGGGCTTATACTACCTTATCCGCAGACCTATTATAAATTGCAATAATCAAAAATTATAAAAATCAAAATTATAATAATCAAAAGAGTGTGGCACTGGCACTGCAAAAGAATAGTTACCCGAAATAGATGCACAAGTATATGGTCAACTTATTTTCACAAAAGTGGTAACATAATTCAATGGGTACAGGAAAATCTTTCAAACAAATGGTTCTGAAACAATTGGATGTCCATATACCAAAAATGGGAACTTAGGCCTTATACTACATACAAAAATTAACTTAAAATGCATCATATTCTTTTTTTTTTTTCAACGTTTATTTATTTTTGGGATAGAGAGAGACAGAGCACGAACGGGGGAGGGGCAGAGAGAGAGGGAGACACAGAATCGGAAACAGGCTCCAGGCTCTGAGCCATCAGCCCAGAGCCCGACGTGGGGCTCGAACTCACGGACCGCGAGATCGTGACCTGGCTGAAGTCGGACGCTTTACTGACTGCGCCACCCAGGCGCCCCAAAATGCATCATATTCTTAAATATAAGAATAAGAATAAGAATATTCTATAAAACTTCTAGAATAAAACTCAGAATAAAATCTTTGTAGTCTGGATTAGGCAAGGCAAAGATTTTGTGGACAGGGCACTGAAAGCAAAGCAGGAAGCCTAAAACAAAGAATTGATAAAATAAACTTCAAAAAAAAAAAAAAAAAAAAGAAGAAGAAGAAAGAAAGAAAGAAAGAAAGAAAAGAAAAGAAAAGAAAAAAGAAAAGACCTATACATGAATGTTCATAGTAGCTTAATTCAAAATAACCAAAAATTGCAAATAACCCAAACATTTAGCAACCAATGAATAAATAAGCAAATTGTGTTGAGGCTATCTAATTGAATATGACTCTGCAATAAAAGGAATTAACTACTGATACATGCAACAAGGATCCATTTCAAAAGTATTATGCTAAGTAAGAGAAGCAAAACAGAAAAGACTATATACTCTATGACTTAATTTACCTGAGTTGCAGAAAAGACAAAACTCTAGGAATAGCAAACAGGCAAGTGGTACTAGAGGCTAGCTAAATTTAGGCAACTGAATGTAGAGGGCATGAGAGACATCTTTGGATGATGGAAATGTTCTATATCTTGATTCTGGTCGTGGTTATGTGACTTTATACATACATATATTTTATTTATTGCCATGTTTATTGCCATGTGTGTCAGGTGAAGTTATGGTATAAAATGTGAAAATCACACATTCAAGAATTTTCTTCTAATACTCAACCTGACCGTCTCCATTCCACATATGGTCTGTAAAAATACAATTCCTTTCTTCATCACTCCATAAAGAGTTGTTTTTACATTCTCAGTTCATCAAAGTAGCCTTAACATGATTTTCTGCTTTATAGCTACCAAATCAACCTGGAGCCATTTAATTCCATTATCTTTCAGACTAGCAGGCTCTTAAATACAATCTTGAGAAGTTAATTGCTATGAGCAGAGAGTCAAAAAGCAGTTCAACTACATTTCAAATGGAGTAGCTGTAGGTTTTATGGGCCATGCAGGAGCTCTTGAAATGTTGAAACAAAACCAGACCCAACTCATGAAAAAGTGTAGATTGGCTGCACTTTTTAGATGTTGTTCTCATTCAACAATATTCAACAATATATTTGGAGTTCCTACTATGTGTAAAACCTAGACACCCTGTTTTCATGTCAGGATCAAGAAAATCCTAAAAAAAAAAAAAAAAAAAAAAAAAAGAAAAAAGAAAGAAGAAGGAGAAGGAGAAAAATCCTTTTTACTCTGAACCAGATAAGGCTAAAGAGGGTTGGTTGGCAAATGAGAGAATAGGGGAAAGTCATAAAATCAGGTGAATCTGTATATATATATATATATATTTTTTAATTTTTTGAATGTTTATTTATTTTTGAGACAGAGAGAGACAGAGCATGAACGAGGGAGGGTCAGAGAGAGAGGGAGACACAGAATCTGAAGCAGGCTCCAGGCTCTGAGCTATCAGCACAGCGCCTGACGCGAGGCTCGAACTCATGGAGATCAT